TGTTGATATGCCCCATATATCCTCTGTCTTTTTTATATTTAGTTCTTTGAAAGTTTTTATAATAACTATGGGGTCTATTTGTCTAAATTTTAATGGGCTATTGCAAACATCAACACAACCCTCGAGAAGAGACATTGCCTGATATGAACATGAATTAAGATTGCTTGTTGTTATGATTGGTACATTTGAGAAGTAACCTTCGAATGCGTTTGCTACCTTATCATTGCATTTAATACACTTATTGTGTCGTTTTATTGCGAATTACCTTCCAGCTCCATCTTTAGACCCTGATTACTATATAGAATTAAAGTACTCATCAATACAAAACGAACGAGCCCAAACTCGATGGATTTAAGTCGTTTTATTATAGAGTTCCTATGGCCACCTTCCAGCTCCATCATCAGATCAGCTCCATGTCATCATAATATTGCATGGTCATCCAAATCACATGTGTTTGCGAAATTTCAGCCTTATCGGTTGCCTGGAAGTGGGTCTTAATTCAGCTTGCAAGATTCCACCCATACAAATATGAGCCAGTCACTGTAATATGACGTCACGCGCATAAAATGGCGGGCCGGCCGCCGCCCGCACTTTTAAAATTCAATATCTTGGAAACTAATTGACGTATCGAAATAATTCTTTCACGTGTATTTTTTATTTTTAACAGAGAATACAGAAAGCTAAAAAACAAAATTAGTGAACATTCTTCATTCAGTAGTGCTCATAGAATGAAAGTTTTGAATGTTTGTTTGTACAGAATTTAAAAATTCTTTCACCATTAGAATCCTACATTATTTCTAATGAACATGAGGCGGTACGAACTTCGCCGGGTCAGCTAGTGTTAAATATGCAAGCAAATACAGGGTGGAATTTTGTAATGCCACCTAAAGGGAAAGTACTCTTAATACTGTAGATAGAAATTTTTACTCAAAGAAAACATTCCTTTATTTTTGAAAAGAAATAGAACTGCATTCAAAGATACGCGGGCTTTCCCTCCAGGTGGCATTACAAAATTCCACCCTGTATATTGCTTGCTACCTAAGTTGCTAACTAAAATACATAATAACTTAATTTAGTTATTCTACTAACCCTACGGCCTACAACTTTTTGAAAGTGGATTTGGTTGTTTGTATCACAGACTAGCTCACAAATTCATTGGTTTAATTTTTTGCGCGACGAATCCCCACAGTAAGTTTTCTTGTACTAAGAACACTTCACACTTTTATATTAATTTAAATTAAAAATACCTTTAAAACTAAAATTATAAATAGGCCAATTGTAATATTATTTGTGTTTGTATTACAAGAAACACGATCTCACAAATGTAGCAAAATTTCAATAAACTGTTTAGCAAATACCGATTGAGCAACCAATCGCTCAACTAGTCCATTTACAGAGTGAGTTGCCGAACCGACATTCTGATGGGCTCAGTGTCAAGTTTGAGAGCTCATAAATAATTATACGATTGCTTGAGCCACTCAACGTCTGTGATTGAATTAATTACACCCAGTTATGGGTATGATGTTGTTAGAACATCTTGGATAGTGAATATCTACTTAGTTTGAGAATGGTCATCAATCAGAGAACTAGTACTCATTTCTGGCGAATTATGTAAATAGCAAGTTATGTGAGATCTGTATTGACTTAAGGTCTTGTAGTACCTTATTAAAGAACATACTGATACACAGCTGGTTTCGATAGTCAATCTTGTTGGTCAGGCTTCTACACTACTGTATTATGTTTATTTGTGCGATTAGTATAATCCAGATTGTATTAAATGTGTGATAAAGAAAGACGTAAATAGTCTCTACAAGTTATCCTCTAAATAAATAACCTAGACCAATACAAACAGGCAACAAATGTTTATGCAAACGAATGTCTGTACCCTCTTTTTGAGAATCAAATCCGCGATCCCTGGCATATTAGGTATGCGAACCACTATGCCAGCCAAATCAAAGCTACCCAACTTTTAATAAGAAATACTTCTACTAAGTCGACCATTGATCGATAGCCTGCATCCAGCGCCGTCCTGCTACCTTTATGAGGTCGTTGGTCCACCTTGGAGACCACGTACCAAAAAGCGCAGCAACCTTGCTACCCCATCGGCCGTCAGTTCTGCGTACCTACTACGAGTATGTGCCCTGCCCATTGCCACTTCAGCTTGCTAATCCGTCGGGTTATGTCAGCGACTTTAGTTCGGATCTCCTCATTACTGATTCGATCTCGTAAAGAAACACCAATTATAGCCCTCTCCATACCACGCTGTGCAATTTTGAGCTTATTTATAAGGCCTATATTGAGAGGCCACGTTCCCCAATGATTTCTGTATTATCGGGTTGGTAGCGGCCTGCATCTAGGCGCCTAAAAAGCCAACAACTCGTAATAAATTGGATCTTTCAGGGTTTAGGAATAAAGGTTTTATTGCATTGCAATTTGAAAACATAAATCCGTTCTTCCACTCAAATCCGATCATCCAATTAGCAGTGGTTTTATCGATAGTCAAGTGGGATCCTGCTGTTAGCTTTGTTTTGTTTTGCTGTTGGGTCCACTAAACGGATTAGAGCTTACAAATTAAATTATTGGAAAAGCTACAAAGCTTTCGTGTTCAGGATCATTTCACTGTTGAAGGACTACAGTCATACTTTTTGTAGGCCACATATTTGTTTAGTGGGATGATTAAATTTTGATGCTTGTTTTTTATTTGAATTATTTCGATAGAGATATGAAATGCTATTCCATGAAATGCCACAGATTCTTTGGCGTTACGTTATGGATATTATTATAATGTAGTCGCATACGTCTCCTGATTTGTATTTATTTAAGGGCTTACGAAGTAATCGTGAAATTGAATCTTCAATAAATTAGCTACATGGTCAAGAGAATTGTAAAATACTGTTCACTTATGAAGAACGTTCGGACATGCAACGACTACATGTCAATTAATTAAATCTTTTGCATATCCTAACTAATTAACTATCTAAACGCGGAAAATATTCATAGCTCAGGCGAGGAGCTATGACTGAGCTAGTTCTTACATACATAATGAAATGAGCCCGCGTTATGACGCCGCGGTGGCTGCTGCGACGCGACTGTGTAGGCGGCCAATAAATTGTTTATTCATTCATTGAATTAACAAAGAAACAACATTTAAATAAAACAGCATTCCAAAGTACCATTTTTGTAGCAATATTGAATTAAAGACACAAGCTGTTACAGCTAGACTGGTCAGTGTGGGGACTGTAGGCCAAACCCTACATTTGTGCCTTTGGTAAATTGGAGAGTGTGCTCAGTGGAGTCCAAATGATGAGTCCTGATGTTGACTTGCAAGGACAAAAAATATTGTACTTAGCAATAGTCAATTCCGAAAGTGTCATTGATAGAAAGCATTACGTTATTAAAATAATAGACAATATTTTTTATCCCGGTCACCTTTTTCATCCACTTTACTAGATCCCAAGAGGTGCGCCTACAATACAAAAAAATACACATTTTGCAGCCGTACAAATGGTCCATTTTCCAAAACAAAAACTGTACCTAATATCAGCACGTGACCGCACAATAAATGACAGCATATTAAGCTAAGCACTGCAACGTCTTATGTAGGTGTGTTTAAGGATGATTTTTCAACAAAAATGCTCAGTTTGATGTGCTTTTGATTGTACAGACGACAGCCACATCAAGCCAAATACTGCCGCATCTTATGTAGTTGTGTTTAAGGATGATTTTTCAACAAAAATGTTGTTCTTTTGAGCGATACAATCGGCCATCGTCCGTCTCGTAAGCCGATTAGGGAACATTCTGCCCCGCGTCATCTTCTAGCCCGATTGGTATGCGGCTGAGGCCGATTGAAGATAATGATGATAACGTCCAAAGCTAACGTTACTATGATGAATGAGATAGTCTAGATAGCCATTCTTTAAATAAAACTTATTTTAAGCCAGTCAATCAAGACCAAAATGTAAAAAAGTAATTTTATTTTCATAAGACATTGGATGATAATTTGCCAACATTTTGTCATCAATAAAACGAACAAAGTTTCAACCACACCAACGCGTACAGATCACCATCGCCGGCGATGGCTTAAGGTAAACATGCGGCAAAACTTCTTCAAGAAACTGAAAAGTCTGAAAACCTATAATAGACACTAAATAAATCCGCCAGTAGTTTTCAAGCACCTAACAGATGAAAATTCCAAAACTAAGTAGTTCGGACAAGACTTATTTTGGAATCTTTCGTAGTAGTTTTAATTAGTAGATCTTTCTAGCCCTATCAAATACGAATTAAATTCTTCACTTATACTCAACTCTTCCCAATATACCACTTTAGGATATATTACGGATATTGTCTGAAAATAGGACCCCTCCTGTTTTCAGCAATATCGTTTAAAATGCCTTATTATTTTTAGACGGGGATCTCAAAATAATAAGGCTTAAAACGCTCAGAATTGTCCAGAATTACGTAATATCGTAGAGCAATGAATTATAGGTATACGTAGTTGTTTAGACCGCGTGAGTGCAAACACAAACGGGCTATGGAACTTGATACGCCGACATAAATTGATACGCGGCTCGCATGCAATCTTGACACACAATAGCCTAGATATATCACGTGGATGGATTGTCTATCACTTCTATCAGAGAGCCGATATTCAAACGATGTTTATCGACAGGATTAAAAGTTGTGGTTGCTCAATAATAATACTACAAAAGAACTAAGGCTTAAATATAACCCTTATGAATGTTAGACCTTGAATGAAGCCTTGAGGAATGACGTCAAATATTCTTGAATTACACACTTACACAGGAAACAATTATCTGTAGATGATGCTCTAAAAATAAGTGTAAGCCCAACATAACAATCAGTTTACTGTTACTGAATTTGATGAAATTTCATCACTTGAAACGTTACTTTACATAGGATTTTATGATAAATATTGTGTTTATGTTTTCATAAACTATCATACATGTGCTAGGAAGGGGATAGTTGTACATTCGACTTACCAATTCCGTTTCATACAATTCCGAGTCTCCTAAACTGGTGGTTTCCTCAATGATATTAGTCAGGTGCATACTCGGCCTCATGGACACACGGTTCTTGAATCCCGAGGACTTCCTCCAAAGGTCCTCATCTTTCACCTCGTCTGCTAAAGTTGCGAACTGCTCGTAAAAATTGATCACCCCCGACAGCTCGCCGTCCAAAATTGTGTCCTCTGCCTTTGAGTTACTGATGGAATTTAAGACTTCGTTTCTTTTACCATCTCGTACACTTCCATCCACTTCACTATTTTCGTTCAAAATAGTGGTGGAGCGTGTATCGTTGAACTCATACTCTAGATCGAAGCCTCTATCATCAAACAGACTTTTGAACTTAGCCCAGCAACCAAGCTTCTTCTCTTCTGCGTGATTCGCAACGTTATTCGACGCTTTATCCATTGTGAAAGGAAGTGATTATGATTAATCTGGGTATTATTGGATACGCCTAATCGGCTTTACACCACAAATCAGCGTCTACGACTTGGAATCAAGGCAAATGATTCTTAACACATTGTTTGTAGAACTGATTGCCACTGATAAAGGCATAGGTAAATAGTTCCTTGTGATAATCACGATAAATATAGTTGCTTCTATAATGATTAGGCACAAGGTTTCAATAATTACAGCGGTTGATGATATCAATAATTGCGGTATGTCTACTTTTAGATTTAAGATTTAGTTAATTAAAAGCTTCCTTAGCGGCTGTTATCATTAGCGATGTGTCTTTGATTAATCTTGAAGAAATCAGAAAATGACCCGTTAGTGTAGGTATTAAGGCACTTCACGATCCCTACAAAAAACACTTAGCACTTTTAATTTACTATTTCGCACAAAACACTTCACGAATGTTATTCTAAGTTTTTATTTAATAAAAATAAGACACTTAAGGATCACATTCTGGACTAAAATGATTTTCAAGTAGCACAGTCTCGTGCGGTGACTTGAGTGATACTAAACAATAATGATTTAATTATTCTGATAAGTCGATATCACGATAAGAGGACATTATCACGGTACTTATTCTGATTGTGAACGGGTTAATTTTTCTACAACATCTTATTTTATTTTTTATTTTATTTTTCTTTATTCAGAAAACCACAGCTCTTTATAATAATAATACAAACAGGTATTTTTACTACAGGTATTTTTATTACTTGAGTCACGTTTTATTATACTGTCTAATGATCTGGCTGTGATATAGCCATAAAAATAAAAGTAAACGCGAGTGCAACCAAATAGATAATATTTATATCTATTCTATTGTAAAAATAATTTCATGGAGGCAGACAGAAATATCCTTTGCATCCTTATGCGTATATTATCCAAATTATTAAAAGCTTATCTCTAGAACTAAAACTCAGGGTCAAACAAAAAGTACCGCTATCATCTGAGTGCACCTAGATCAGCTGAACCCCTGAAATTGTATGCCTTTACATACATAACCTCTTCATAAAAGTGTCTAAGCGCAAGGGACCTTGCTTAAAAAACTGACTTGACCCTGAACCAGTGTTTAACCATTAGCCAGAAGCTTGGTACACCCAAAACTACAGGATGAGACTGAACTGAGCGAGCTGAATGCCGAACAGGGAATGCAAACGAATACTACAGGCTACAGCGAATGGCGATCTCCCACGTTCCACAATCATATGGGTCATGACGGACTCGGTCAGGTTTTAAGTGGATAAAAGTGTAGGGCCTTCTCACTTCTGGTCTTCTGGTCCTCTGGTAGAGCCAGATACCCCCTACGGCTAGTGGGTATAATTTGATGCATTTACTGACGAAAAAAAGCATTGTACGTATTGCTATCTCTCGTCAATAGATCGGCTAATGTGGACAACAAACGTGCGTAAGCGTCGGTTTCCTCAAATTGATTGGTAACCTGAATTCAGCAATGCGGGCGACATCAGCTCTAATTGGCTAATTTTGGGGCAACTAGAAGCCACGTCTCCTTTGCTCTAATGTTACTTACACCCTGGGGAACATATGATAATATAAATACCTTTAGTAACTCTTAAGGGATTAACTTAGTGAGTAAAGTGGTCTGTGGTCCAGTAGTACGAGATCTAAACTTTCTCTACTTGGAGGTTCTGAGTTCGAGTTGTAAAATTACATTGCGTATTAATTCACAGTTCCCGAATGTTTCAGGCTTCAATAAATCTGTTTGATCGAAATTAACTGTGCGGCTACAACAGTATGTATGATCTTAAAAGTTCCTAATAATGTGAGCTCTCAGGTAAATATAAAAATAGTAATACCATGCGATTAGCATTGTATTATTATTCTGAGATGAACTTTCACTCCGTAATCAAAACAGGCGTCGATTTGAGGAGGTTGTTGTATGTATTGTATTTATGACTAAAGAAAGTTTACGAAGGGATATACAGTGTGAGTCACGTTAAAGTGTACATATGAAAATAGGTGAAACTAGACCTATTTTTATCGACAAAAAATAGGTCAAAATTTTTTTGAGATTTTTTTTTAATTTATTATAGAATTTTTTTTCTTCCAATTACTTATTTTAAAGAAAACGTAATAACTTTTAAACTAAGAGGTATATCCTGATAAAATAAAAACAGTAATAATGCTAAATAACAGACGATACTAAATAAATACATAAAATACTCAGAAAATGCCAACAAATAATAAAAAATGATACTTTTTGAAAAAAATCTGCATAAAAATTCGTGTTTTTTTGGTTATTTGATAAATTTTTCCAAAAAATGCCCCTATAACAGGTGGTTTTTATTGTTTTGTATTATTTTCTACCGTATTGCCTTTGTAAAACCAAAAATCGCATGTCTCTATCCCTATCACAACATTTGCTATGATAGTTTGAACAAAGGCCTGCCACCACATTATTCTCCGCTACAGGTAGGGACAATTTTAATTTTAACTAAAATGCTTATTTTACTTCGAAATCTTTTGTTTTTATTTGAAATCTGACTTGTCTTTATCAAATTTACAAATGTAGAGCCACTTTCAGTTTCGTTGTTAACGAAGCGTTGAATGGCGCGCCCAGAGAGGCTTAGTTCGAACGATCATAGCAAATGTTGTGATAGGGATAGAGACATGCGATTTTTGGTTTTACAAAGGTAATACGATAGAAAATAATAAAAAGTCATAAAAACCACCTGTTATAGGGGCATTTTTTGGAGAAATTTATCAAATAACCAAAAAAAACACGAATTTTTAAGCAGATTTTTTTCAAAAAGTATAATTTTTTATTATTTGTTGGCATTTTCTGAATATTTTATGTATTTATTTAGTATCTTCTGTTATTTAGCATTATTACTGTTTTTATTTTATCAGGATATGCCTCTTAGTTTAAAAGTTATTACGTTTTCTTTAAAATAAGTAATTGGAAGAAAAAAAATTCTATAATAAATTTTAAAAAAATCTCAAAAAAATTTTGACCTCTTTTTTGTCGATAAAAATAGGTCTAGTTTCATCTATTTTCATATGTACACTTTAACGTGACTCACACTGTATAGAAGAAAAAGACTTAACTCTCTAATCATAATAAGCTATAATCTAATTTATAGTCATTATTAGAGGTAGGAATTCAAGGTCGTAAAGAAAAGGCTGGGTAACACTGCGAAATGATTCGACGCCTTTTGGCTAAAAAAAACTAATTGGTTCGAGTTCGTCTAGGACGGGGTGGAACGTATTCTTACACCTATATGGTTATATTTTAAACTTTATTCCCAAAAACAATAAAAAAGATACTTGCTGTGCCTTATTATAATAATACGAGACTTATGAGTATTTAGCATAGGCGCAGACCACGAACTTTCGGCCGATTCAATTTGGACTTCATTAAAACGATTTGGTATCGGGCTACAAATTCTTCATACAAATTAGAATGTGGCCCAACTATCAGCCAACTAAAAATCGGTGGTCTGCGCCAAGGCTTCATGTTGTTTATTAGGAAAGTACTTACGGCGACGTCGACTAGCGGCTCGTCTTCAGGCGTGAGCGCCAGCGAGGAGCGGCGGCCTGCGCGCGCGCCTGGCGACCCGCTAGAGCTACCTGTGGACAAACAAACAACTATCTTAAATAATATATTATACAGGGTGGAATTTTGTAATGTCACCTGGAGGGAAAGTACTCCTAATACTGTAGATAGAAAACTTTACTCAAAGAAAACATTCCCTTATACAGGGTGTTTGGCGCATCGTGTGCCAAAATTATTTGGCGGATAGAATAGGTCATTTCCTATATTTTCAGCCCCCATAACACGTTCCATGCCAGGCGGCTACTTTTATATGAATTTTTTTAGTAATTTAACCAAAATACCCAAATCGCATCATTTAATTTCGATTTAAAAAAAACTACTAGGCGTAGCCTCAAAGTAAATATTTTGTTTTGACGTGCATTGATGTAGGGTTGCATCAAATCTAAATTTACTGGCAAATATCATCTAGTTTTTTTAAAATTCAGCTTTGAAGTTTTCCGAAAAGTTAAAAATGGACTGAACAATTAAGTTAACATGGCCATAATAAAAAAATTAAAAGAGATAGAGATCTTCAGATTTTATCAAAACTTCTCTAGTCTATCCCCATTCAAACGGTATACTAATCTTGTTTAAATAATAACAAGAACTTCACAAATTCTTTAAATTAGTGCATTGACTCTACTCGGACTGATATTCAAATTTTGAATTTTGAACCTTTTTTTTTACTTTACAATAAGTTCAAAGCAGGTAAAAACTTCACAAAATATTTACTTTGAGGCTACGCCTAGTAGTTTTTTTTTAAATTGAAATTAAATGATACGATTTGGGTATTTTGGTGAAATTACTAAAAATTAATATAAAAGTAGCCGCCTGGCATGGAACGTGTTATGAGGGCTGAAAATATAGGAAATGACCCATTCTATCCGCCAAATCATTTTGGCACACGATGCGCCAAACACCCTGTATTTTAAAAGAAATAGAACTGCATTCAAAGATTTCAAAAATTTTGCTTGCCATACCCGGGAATCGAACCAACTAAAATCTGTTAAAAATTACACCCTGTATTTTTATTGCATCGATCGGTAGGGTTAAGTATAAGGATGAAATCTCTCTAACAAACTTGATAAATCAAATGAAAGGAAAACCATGAAATCTTAATTTATTTTTATTATTTACAGAAAATTGTATGGTATAATAGGGAATTTTCGAAAAAAAATTAAAAATCTTTGAATGCAGTTCTATTTCTTTTCAAAAATAAAGGAATGTTTTCTTTGAGTATAATTTTCTATCTACAGTATTAAGAGTACTTTCCCTCCAGGTGGCATTACAAAATTCCACCCTGTATATTGTAAGCTCATTTTCATCTGAAATACAGATTTTTCCTAGTTCAGACATAAAAATACACTTTACCTCATAATTACTCGTATGTTGTTACTAAATAAACTAAATCATCATCATCATCATCATTTCAGCCACAGGACGTCTACTGCTGAACATGGGCCTCCCCCAATGACTTCTACATCGCACGGTTGGTAGCGGCCTGCATCCAGCGCCTTCCTGCTACCTTTATCAGGTCAGGTCCACCTTGTCAATAAACTAAATAAATGTTTTGATTTGATATAAATCTATACGAGTACATCAGCACGTCTCTACATAATCCAAACTACCTAGCATAAAGGTAGGTTGTGGATAGGAGCTATAAATGCCATTTTTCTATCAACGAGAATGCGTGGTTTGTACAATAACTTGTTTCTAGAAATATTGTTGGCCCATACAAAGTTTTATCTATTCTCAATCCGATAGACAGTGGTCACAGAGTTTGTTGCAGCGCTTCTTCTTAGCACTTGCGAAGTGTTTGTCGCGAAGCGCTGCGGTGGTAGAGCAAACGTAAAAAATGATGAGAGCTTTCTTGAATTTCGATTTGTACATACATTGACATAAACAAATATATTTTTATTTGATTTTATTTATACAT